AGTTTAAATGAAACGCAAGAAAAAATGCATATAATTTAATATTCCGCATAAGGAAGTCGTGTGGTGTATACATCAGATTTTTTTTAGTGGAATTAAAAATAATAATTTAAGCTGCAAAATTTTGCTTGAGATAAAATACTGTGTAGCTCACAAAAGTTTGAGATCCCCCCCCCCAAAAAAGGTATTTTTGAGGCGATTTTACAATAACCATAACTGTTGCTGTATTGATCAGTGAAATAATTAACGAAGACATTTAGCATCGAAGATATAATTTAAAAGTAGGTAAGTGTGGCAACAAACCATTTTTTTTTTTAACTTCCTGTTGCCGCCTAATGATATATAATAAGTTATTCATAAAAATGATTGGTAATTTTGGTTTAAAGATAAAATTTGTTTTGTTTTATATTATACTCGTGCATTAAAGTACAGTTAAATTTTTAAACTGATGGCTGAAATAATTTTTTTTTCCTCCCCCTATCAGGTGTGCCTATGCGTCAGTATTTCGGGTAAACGGGCTTTTGCTAAAATTTCATTTAGCTAGTAATTTATTTAACCCTTAAAATATAACAATTTCATAGCAGTCGGGTGAATTTTTATGACACTGCTATATGCAGCTATATATTCTGTCTCATCTCTTTGATTGTTTTCCTTAGGTCTCTCTAAAATGAAACGTATTTGAATCGGCATCACTTTATTTGCTTTCGGCAGCTTCCTCAAGCCGGCATTCCGCGAAGGCGTCTATGCAGGTCACATCCTGGATTCTGTTGAGGCCCTGTAACCCAGTGTATCCATTTTTCCTTTCATAGCGGACACCCACCGAGTGGGCGCATGATTGAGGAGGAATTTCCCAGCTAAGCTCTCCTGAGGGAAAGGAAAGTTCGATTTCGAAACTCTCGATTAACCACCCCATTCTGTCCCTCTGTCGAAAGTAATTCCGCTCTAGACTTTCATTAATGAGTTTGCCGCTTCTTTTATGTTCATTCTTTTCCAGGATGGCAGGAAAGTGTCCAATTATAAGTGGAATACTTTCTTCGCCACTGATACCACGAATTCTTATTTCGTTCCAAATACTCTTCAGTTTTATAAAATGATTAAAATAAATAAAAATTGATAAACGCATAATCTGTGCGTACTAAAGTCTGAAATTTAAATCCAAAACCTTGTGATGCTTCTTTGGCGAAATGAAGCAACTCCAATGATGGAACACAGCAATAACTTTTCAAAATCTCTAATCGCCCACCAGCGGCCGAGCGGCAAAGTCGCTGAACACTGGTAGTTCGGTCCGAGGTTCGAATCCCGCGAACGGGCTGGCTGCATGGGCGTTTTCGTGGTTTTCCCCATGTGTAACGTGTATACGAGCCAGCTTCCCTTAGAAAGTCCTCCACGAAAGGCATCCCTCCCCTTAGGCAGATAGCCCTAGTGTGCTTTGCCATAATTGAATACACCACAGCAAAATCTCTAATCATCGTTTTTGATTTCCGCAGCGTATTTTTCAATAATATAATTACAATTTGTATGCTTCTGTAATGATGGCACATACTTGAAAAGTGATTCAAATTGTATAGGTGAAGATGTTTTATTACCTTAATTTTTCATGTACATTAATGCTATTAAATACTATTTCATTTCAAATAGTGTCTTACGTTTTCCTTGCAATTCAATATTTTCATCACTTAATGTTGATGTAAAATCTGTAAGGAATGTTAAAGGGCCAAGTTTCATCATTTAAATTTACTCATTCTTGATCTAGATCTTCGAGAAAAATTTTTTATTTCAGTTAGTGAAGAAAATCACGAAATCGTTACAGAAATATACTGTTATGAATTTTGTATTTAGTTAGGTATTTTTAGTAGAATTCTAATTCTTTTATTTTCCCGTGCAGTGTAGTCCGTGACGAGTTTTAAGAGAAAGCCACGCCGAAAATATAAAAATACAGGAGCGTGTGCATTTAACATATAATAAAAGTTTATCTCTGTAATTTATATTTAACTTGAATTGCCTTCTATGTTAGCTGTAACCGTAATTATACTTTTTTTCCTTTCCAGAAATTGCTAGAACTATCTTTCGCGGCTGATTAAAAAGCTTTAAAAAGTCGGAGAGAGACATCTCAGCCCAGTTGTTTATTACCCGTTGTTGTTGATTGTAGCGAATTCGGGATGAGATCGGATTGGGTTTCTCTGCGCTTTGGATTACGTTTTATTTAACGTTTTAGTAGTTTAAAATATAACTACTGCGTGATATTGTACGAATATTTTTGAGGAAAATCCACCGTTTTGTTATATTTCTTGTAATAAGAATTAATTTTATTAACTTTTAACCGGACTTGTGCATTCAATCTATTACGAACCCGTACGCAAGCAACAATACTGCTTAGCCACCTCCACATCGGTATGTAATAATAATTCTGGCCGTCCATCTAATTGCAATAGGAAGAGACGCCTATCGCAATTAGGAACCATCCGATGGAGCTTCCTGTAATGTAATTAGTAATTTTCAAACGCTACGTCCATTATTTCTTTTCTGTTTAATATTTTTCTAGATAACGCTTGTTATTGAATTATGCAGGGGGTCTGACGACATTTAGTCACTAGAGTTATACATCCATTAATGCGACCTATCACTGCTCCCCCTCCATATGTTATTACTGAAACTAATTTAAAAAATGGTAGCTTCAAATTAGTGATGAAGTTTTTTAAAAAGATGAATATATCTAAACCTCTATATCTTTCAAAGAAATCATCCCCAACAATAATTTATTTAAAGTAGTAAGTAAATTTAATAATAAAAAATGAATATAAAAACAAAAGTATTTATTTGCTGGATGACCGTAAATAGCTTCTAACCCGTCAATATACTATTTATAATCCTGAAGAAGGGTTATGTTATAAAAAAATCTGTGATGTGTACACGACATGACTTCCTTGTACTGAATATTAAGTTATACGCATTTTTTCTTGCATTTCATTTAAACTTATTGGATTGCTTTGAATCTAAATCGTCGATAGCGCATAAACCATGATAGAATAAATACACTCTTTAAAATTCACTATATTTGTTTACCATAGCGACACTTTGGCGCTAGGTTCACTTAAGAGCGTTATACTTCGTTCATATTATAACTCAGAATGCACAAAATTTATATCATTTGAAGACTTATTTAATCATTGTCACATGTTCTTTCAAATAGTATAAGAAATCTAGAACGATGTATAAAAGAAATTAAACAAACAAAACAAAAAAGATACCGTTTTTCACAGACGATTCAGTATTTCTCATTCAATTAATTCAGTTCTCACTTCGCGACAAAGGAAAAATACATAAAAACTCAAAATATCTGTATTAAAAATTACTAAGTAAATCTTAAACACTTATTTCCTCGAAAAAATTCCAGAAAGGATTAAGCATGATTTAATTCATAATAATAAATGAAGGCGTTATCTTTGTTGTTGCGAAGCTTAGTCTCTCTAGATTGGCAACAAATCTACTATTCTGCTGTTTCAAATGTAAACAAACATGTCCAACATGTTATTTAAAAATTAGGCTTAACCGCTCTTAAACAGCTTTTAAATTGTTGATAATTCTACAAATATTGCTTACAGATTTCGTAAAGGCATAAAAATCTTAACCGGAAGATAAGAACATAATTTAATCATTTTTAAAGCAAAAAATGCGCAATTTACAAACATACAAGAGTAAAGAAACTGACATCACCGAGCCGGGTAACAGAGTGGATATATATATAAATATATTTATATACATTTGATGTGGCCGATTGCAACTAAAATGCGAGGTGCACATCTACATGTTACAGCAGTCCTATATACAAAATTTCAACGTTCTGAGGCTACTCGTTTTTGAGTTATGCGAGATACAGACGTACGTACAGACATCACGAAAAATTCTCTTCATAATTCATTTTAAAGCAGTTTTATAATTTTTTCGGAGGAAAAGAGTTTTTTATTCTGTCCTTTTATTCTGGCTAATTATGCCACGCAAAAACATAGTTAAATTGCATTCGATAGCGGGTCAAAATTAATATTTTCATTGAAATATGCTGCCTGAAACTTTTCGCGATTACAATACTTCCTTTTTACTTCGTACAAGAAAGTAAAAAGGCATATTACATATTTCTCCCATGTCCGCTTCGCCGTTTAGGAACTTTCTTTCGTTCCGCTGCGACCATTACTACCGAATTAGCGGATACGGAGGAGGCACGATTTTTGCTATCATATGACAGATTATTTCGAATTACTAGTTTAAAATGTTATACAATTTAGCATTCTGAAATGAAATAGTCTGACGGAAAAAATGTAATTTTATTACATTTCAACTATTGAGGGCAGGTTCCAAAATTTCCCTTGCAGATTAAGGAATTCTTATGTATATTCGAATGCGTATGTTTTCTAACAAAACAAATGCAATATTAACTTGTTTAATAATAAAATTAATGAATCACAAACTATTAAATGGGCGACATTTTGCTATTATTTAGGAAACTGAAGCAAATGATAGTCAAAATTTGATTGCTGATTAATCTGGTATATTGATAAATTGGTTATATAATATTTGTCCTTTCAGCGCTGAATAATTATGTCTCAGCTGTTATTAAAAAATTGCTTTGAGATGTATTGAAAAAAAAAAAGCATGTAATGCATACAATTTATTACTTACAGCATTTAAGATTTCACTTAATTTTTTTCATCATTTTTTCTTTTAAAATAATCTGTTATTTAGTTGAATGCGTTTTACTGAAACTTTGAATTTTAGTAAGACAAATCTGAAACGTTGCCATAAAATCAGTAATAAACTTTTAAAAAGTACTACAGTGAAGTTTCTTTTTTAATGCTTTTCGTTACCATATTTTTTAATGTTTTCTTTACCATATTTTTTAATGTTTTCTTTACTATATTTTTTAATGTTTCCTTACCTTACCATATTTTTTTAAGGTTTCCTTGCCAGTATTTTTCATCATTAATGATGTAACTATTTCTTTACTTTAGGTTCCAGTTCAAACCACATATTTCCAATGAAGCGAAAGTTAAAATTTCATCTAACTTCATATCAAGACATGCGTGAACTCTCTATCATGACATTTTCATATGTCACTATCCTAGCACTGTGCTTCCTTGGCGTCCATAGTCAACCTCAACTTAACTACTCGGAAGTACAGAATCTTGGAAAAAGCTGTCCTCCGGTGGATAGTTGCGATTATCAAAAGTCAACACGTAGCAGAGAACTCATTCCTCTTAAAGAAAGAAACTGTGCATGTGATTACTTATGCTTTGAATATGGAGATTGCTGCATTGACGCACCTGGAAACGCTGTAACAAATGTTTCCACTGGTTTCAATTGTTATCAGCTGCGACAGTTTGGAGGAGTGTTCATGAAAGATTCTTGTTCGCCTGCTTATAATGGATATGACATCATCAGACATCTATGCGAAGAGTCCAATCCAAGAAATCTCTCGGATCCTCTAGGTTCTATGCCTGTTACAGATTCATTAACTGGGGTGACTTATAAAAACTATTATTGCAGCATATGTAATGACAAAATCGATAATATTGTTATCTGGACTCCTAGACTGGAATGTCCAACTCTCACTCTATACAATTCTTCCCATAACTTAACTCAGGAATATGTATTTCAAAATTTGGATACTGATGGGAAGAACTGGGGATTATACTTAGATGGCGATCAAGGGTCAATGTTTTTCCATGACTGTGAAGTAGATCCTGTAATGCCCGTGTTATTGGAGAGTAAAATTCGCTTATGTAAGCCTAATCTCGTTGAAGAGTGTCCAGAAGACTGGGAAGACGATGATGTCAGAACCATGTGCCGGTCTTATATGGCTGTCAGATTTATCCATGGCGATAGAGGATTTCGAAATCCACATTGTGCTCTTTGCAATCATAAGAATGTTAGTCATCTCTCTTGCCAGTCGAGAGAATTCAGGGATTTTCAATTCTTCCGTCAGTTTGAGCGGCATGCGTTCTCTCTTCTGCTTGATATCAATGAAATGAGAGGGCAAGAAGTTGGATTATTTCAAATCTGTGAAGAAGGAGATGTTTACGATCCGTTTTTTAAAAAGTGCCGAAGTTTGTCATGTCTTCCTGGATTTGTCAAAACTGAAGGACAGTGTGTTCCAAGGATTGTGCCATCTGAGCAACCTGACTTTTCTCATAGTAATAAAACTTTTAAATTGATTTTAGATTCGCCAGTGGAGAAAAATATTTCTGATGAACTTCAAAATGATGGTCCGACATTCAATAGCTCAGAAATTATGCCTGGCTTTGAGAATATATCTGGTATATCTTTCAATTTGTCAGCATTAGATTATGGTAGCCCGCACGGGAAAGAAATTGCTAAATATCAGAACTGTTTATTGATATCTCTTGTTGATGAAGATTATGTAATGCTTCCTAACAAAAGTATATATGTGCCGAAATATGACAAAATATATGAACCTACTGCCTATCATACAGCCGATGGCTCAGTTCTTGTGTGTAGCCATTTTGAGACTGAAAACAATGAAAAGTTTGGGCCCTCTATGGGTTATGTGACGATAATTGGCTTAGGTTTATCTATGTTTTGCTTGCTTTTGCACTTCATTGCATTCTGTATTGTCCCTGATCTTCAAAATCTTTCGGGGAAAAATTTAGTTTCGCAATGCATTGCTCTTTTTCTGGCCTACTGTTGTTTTATCATTGGTCAGTTCAATTCTTTGAGTTTTACATCATGCACAGCCGTAGCATTCTTAACTTTCTATTTCTTTCAAGTGTCATTCTTCTGGATGGCTGTAATGGCTTATGATGTTTGGAGAACTTTAAAAATGGCTACAACTGAGCTGAGAGTTTCTAGTGGAAAGCAAATTGTGAGGTTCATAGTATATACTTTCTTTACGTGGGTCACACCATTATTTATCGTAATTTTGCTTGCTTTTGCTGAATATACGGATGTAGTTCCATTATTGTATAGACCTGGCTTCGCTAAACCTCGATGTTGGTTTAAACGTAAACGCGCACTTTTGGTCTTTTTCGCCACACCTCTTATAGCTATCATGCTTATCAATATTTTGCTATTTATCTCTAGTGCCAGAATGATTCTTATGACCACACAAAGTAGCATTAAACAACAGAATCAGTCACAAAGACGTAATTTCAAGCTTTACTTGCGGTTAGCTCTTCTCATGGGGTTGACCTGGGTTGTTGGCCTCGTAGCAGGCTATGCAGATATTTCATTTCTCTGGTACCTCTTCGTCATCCTCAATACTTTACAAGGACTGTTTATCTTTATAGCATTCTCCTGTTCTACGAAAGTATTGAACTATATTAAAGAAAAATTTAAGATGCAATCAGAACCTAGGGAATACAAGTCATCAAGCCATTCTGCTTCAACAGGATCTGGATGTCATACCAATAGTACAAATCTGCATTCTAATATTTCTAAGAAATTTTCTCCTAAGCTGCTGATAAATAAAGATTCTGCATCTCCTACTAGTTCTTCAGCTTCGCTGAGTTCAAGACACATCAAATCTAATTCATGCTTTTAGATTTAGAGACTTCTAAAGTGCCGTTTTCAAAAGTGTTAAAGTGACTGCACATACTTTTATTTGATAAAGATTAAGTCTGAACGAAGAATTGGCGTAAATATTTTGTACGCCAAAGCAAACGTTTAGAGCTCATTTTTCGTCTGCTATAAAGTGGAATGTTTTATTATTATCACTAGCTGATTTTTCTATTTCCAAATACTTAGATTAGAAATTTACTTGGCTCCAAACGAGTCCAAACTGATGTGATATGTAAGTACAGTTCTTTCATGGATCTGATTTCAGGAAATATTAGCCTTGACATTTTTTTGAAATGGCGATTGATAGTTTATGCTGATAGTTAAGGAAAAAATAAAGTATTACTCAGGAGATGAAATCCATTATAATGAGAATATTTGATACTGTATTTCATATTCGTATATTTTTACTTAATTTTTATGTTGAAGTACAGTAATGTAAATAGGTTTTCGCTAGACGTTTTTGGTCTAACCTGTTTCTTACACGAAAGCGAATTGCTGTAATATAACAAATCTAGTCTATGTAGTATTTACTGATAAGTTTGTAACTTTTAATAGTGTAGTAATTAAGCACTGTGTTAATACTGTGATTTTTTTTCCCTCTTCTATTTTTGCAAGAATCATGACTTTTTCCAATATCAGAAGGAATCTTTTAAGGAATTTTATTTGATGTGTGCATGTATGTAATGTGAAGTAACATTTTAATGACTATTATATCTAAAATATTTTAGATCTGTAACACATGTTGTATAAAATATTATATCTTTATAAATGTGAAATATACAATAAAAGAATTTGATAAAAAATATTTTGTCTTATTCGTTCACCAGATTTAAATCACAAAATACTGGCGTGGAACATCATTTGGGTTGTTTAAATACTAGAGAAAGAAATAATGTTCTCTTTTGCTGTGCATATATTCATGCTAAGTCATAGCCCTATTTCATAAATGTTAATTATATTCTTGACTATTACTGATTTCTAGCATGATTTGAGTAACACTTGTTCTCTGAGTACTTTCAAATTCGAGAAGAAATGTTAGAAAATATGGTCAAAAAATTAAATACTGTATTTACTCTACATATGTTTCGAAGACAGCGATATATCGTCATTTCTTTGCGACATATAACATGAGCCGTTGATCATAATGGAAGGCAAAATTAAGTTCTTTGAGGAGCGACGTGAGGGAAAATACCTAATTCTAATGCAATTTTGTTTACTGAATTCAGTTATATAATTTTGCTCAATTACATTTTGTGGAGAAGGGAAATGAAGTGATCAGTCAAATAAATAGACTTCAGTTACATACTCTTAATAGCCTTGAATTAAGGTAAATTATTAAATTAAGGATGAAGAGGGCGAATTCTGTAGGAAGATAAAGTCCATTTTCGCCTACAAGGGACTCAATACTCGGATCGAGCTACAGATGGCTCTGAGTGTCAGTGGAAAAACAAATACGCTATACTTCACTTTATATACTGATCTCTGTTCTAACTGAATTTAATATTAAATTCTTTGAATGTTTTAGATACTGGGCTTAAATATCTTCATGTACTTTTACAGCAATAAGAAGGTAAAAAAATTAAACTCCTGGAATATTTCAATTTTTTTCCTCCAATTTCTCTTTTGAAAAACTTCAGGTGGGCACGTAATCCTACTTGGAGACATAAAAATTTGTAGCATACAAATAAAATGCTAAACGTGCACAAATCTCTGCTTTTCTTAACCAGTCCAATTTGGAAAAAAAAAAAAAAAATTAAAAACGGTTAAGACAAACTTAAATTTTATTAAACAATTTAAATACCCTTTTCTTATTTTAAGCTAATTAGCAACGCTTAAATACGCTTAATTTTTCTTATTTTAAGCTAATTAGCAACGCCTTCGATTCCCGGCGAAGGCGTTGCTAATTTTTCGTCTCGCCTGCTTCCCAAATACCTAATGTCTCTACAACCTTGCTGATATCTTCTGGTTTTGAGTTAAAACACCTTAAACAAAACCTTAAAGAGCCATCTATCTCCTCTTACCTCAAGATTTGTAGACTTTCGAAATAATCTTTTGCTCTTCCAACTGTTCCAATTTTCTCAAGTTTAGGATGCAGATTGAGTGGTACGCGTCTAAGTCGGTAAACGATAATTTAACAGTTTAATTTTACTATTGCACATCCTTCAAATTTCTTATGCCTTCAAAGATTTCCCAATTATTTTGTAGAAAGTGCTTTTGTTCAATTGTGTGCTTATACCTATTTTATCAATACCTTAACAAGATTAAGTTTCACACAGCCTTCTGCTTTTAGTAAAGATCGTTATTATTTGACAGCAGCAAAATCTGCTGCTTTTTTACTAACTAACACTACAATTTAAATTAGTTTTATTAGCAAGTTTAATTTCTGACCCACCGTAAGTTTCTAAATTTTATTTGTTTTTTCAAATTTTAAAGTTTTGTCTATTCCTGAAATATATCATGTAACGGTCAAAGCCTAATATGAACTTCAGTATCTAACTTAAAATTAATTGCTTTAGTAGCATAAGGAGCGGCAGAGCATCACAGAGCTCTGATAGTTTGACATGAGTCCGATTCCAAGGGAAAAGGCTGGCCGAATGGGCTATTTCGTGGTTTTTCCCATATTTAGCATGGATACCAATTAGTTTCCCTCATAAGATCATTCACGAAGGCATCTGTTCCCTTAGAAAAATAGTCCTAGCATGTATTTTCATAACCAAGTAAACCAAACGGAAACAAGCAGTATTTTTCTACTTATTTGTCAAAACTTTCCGATTTTCAAAAATAAGTACAAAGTTTCCACAAAAAAAAAAAAAAAAAAAAAATCGTTTTGACTATTATGTTGAGGCAAATCTTTGTTTTCTTAATTATAGTCGCTTAGCATTCTTTATGTACCAGGATATTTACAATGTGAAAAAAAATGCTTTTAGCTTGGAGCATTGTTTTCCACATGCTGGCCATTCTCCACGCTTTCGTTTCCGATTTCTAATACTAGTATACATTTTTCGATATTCAGATGAATTCTAACAGTATTAGCATTGGAGTTTTTATTGTGTTACTGATAAAAATTCTGCATTGATTTTTATGAATAACATATAATAAAAACTTCATTGTTAATACTGCATCGTTTGAATTGCAAATAAAATTATGAAATTTATATTTGGAGCTTTGCTTTTAGCTCAAAACCTAATCAACAATATCTAAAATATAATAGTGAAATTTCACAGAAATGTCTTTGAAATATTTTTAGTAGCTATATTTCTTGTATGTAGAAACAACAACAACAACAAAAAAAAAAAAAAATTTTCAGGAAGCGCACTTGAAGATTTCTCTTCAGCAGAAAAATTGTTCTGTTGTGTTTGCATATTTAAAATTCACCACTTGTATGCGTCAAGCTTTCCTTCCAAATTAAGTAATTTGATTTGTTATTTGCTTTTGCACTTTTTTTTCTTCTTGGCAATTTTTGAAATGAAAACCGAATGATGATATTTCGAGTTTTTATTTGTTATCTGTCGGTTGCGAAAATTTTTTAATTATTTCTTTGTGTTATCAGGTTTAAAGTCTGAAATGGAACTGTTACGCTACCAGATTAGAAGTCTTTTAGTTCCAGTTGTGTTGCAAAAAGCCAGCTACAGAACATCACCAAATCATATGTATAGCTTTAGGTACTGATATTGTATCATATGACACTGTGAAAGTTCAGCAACAAGGACTATGCATTCAAGAAGCAAAGCACTCTGGCCGCCCTGCTGATGTTGATGAGGCCGTCTGCTAGAACTTGTGGAAGAAGATCAGCAAAGCTGTATGTAAGCAGTTTTCTTAGGATCAGTACTCGAGAGCTTGCTAAGAAGTTAGACGTTAGTGCCATGTCCATTAGTCGCGCTATGCATCGCATAAACTTGACTTACAAGTTCAATCGCTGGGTGCCGCATGAGCTGACTCAAGCAGATATGTTCGGGCCTGGACTAATTTGCTCGAATATCAACGCAAGGACAAAAATTCTAGACCGGAGTATTCAACAGCGGGAAATAATCCAAGATATTCTGAAGGTACTTGCGTATTATCGCAACCACCTTAGTAGAAATCGCCAAAGCTTCAGAAAACAGCAAACTCCGGCAACCATTCGCATCATAATCATTCAGGCAACCACGCGCTTAACAAATATCCCATAGTCGTATGTGTTTTGTTGCATTCCAAGTTCCAACAGCTGTTATGATTATTTTTTGTCTTAAACTCGATTTTAAAATTTATGCTTTTAGAATTTTCCTATAGCAGGAGAAAGAAAGTGAAAACTAGGTTTACTGTTGGTCTTTTGGAATAAATAATATAATCGAAATGTAGAATATGTATGTAATATATAATTTTATACAATAAAAGTAATTGTTCTTTTTCTTCAGTAAAATTCGCCAAACTGCGCCAAGGTTGTTGCGATAATATGTTGCTGAATTAAATATATATATAATAGTGCAACATAGTTTTCAGTCCAAAAAAAGGTCTTCTTTCGGCAAAACTGTCCTTGAAACATTGTCAAAAGTCTCGTTTCAATTTAAAATCATTCTATGCAAAACTTTTGAGAATTAGCTTTTATCTCAGAGACTTATACATGTAGGTTTAATGGCATTTAAAGCAAATTCTGGAAGACTAGGAGATTTATCTGAAATTTTCAACCCGCTATGTTCTGGTACTTGAAATCGGCTCCTACTGGGCAATGTTTGTTCATTTCTTTCTTCTTGTTTACATCTGTAATGAAAAAATGCAGCAACACCTGCCAACTGCATGTTCTGTAAATTTCCTACATTGCTTCGGATAGCAATTCCATGATATTTCTGTAATTAATTGATAAATTGTTTTCCTTAATTTTTATTTTCCACAAGAAGAACCAAGGATCCTCTTTTGTCTTTCCTCAGTTTTCGAAGATTATGCCATCCTTTTTCTGGATATAACCAATAATTCTAGTTCCTTAACTGCATCCTTCCCAAACTGTCTTTCACTTCTATATGTCATTTAGAGTCACCATCTTGCTAAAGATTCAGTATAATGTAGTTATCACAGTTCGAGTTCTAGCATAGTGATTACCCTGAAAAGATCGCTTTTTGGTTTTCATAGATCTTGATTGTGATATTTTAGAATAAGTAAAATAAAGCAACAAAGGTTCAAAAGAAATTATGTACAAGAATCAAAGAGAAAAATACAAAAGTTAAAACAGAAAAAAACGCGTGAAATAAATGTATGAAGCGAAAGGTGATAGATGAATCCCATGAGTAATTTCCAAAATCTGAGATTTTCATTTCTAATGTGGTATACGTAGTTAATTTCAATTTTGGAAATCTAGGAGCACCACAAAGGCTGCTGATCTAAGCGAATTTGATAAAAGGCAGATGGTTATGGCCCGAAGACTTGGAACGAGTATCTGCGAAACTGCACGACTGGTAAGTTCTTCACGATCTGCCATTGTTAGTATTCACGCAAAGTGGATAAATGACAGTGAAACCAGCAATAGATGCCAAGGTGTTGACTTTCACGTGTCATCAAAGAAAAAGGACGTCAGAGACTGTCCCGCTTGGTACAGAAAAATGTGCGCCAGACGGTGGCTCAGCTGACAGCCCAATACAACGCAGGCCCAAATGCAAGTATTCAAAGGCACAGAAATTATGAGAATTTAGACCGGAAACAATATTTTTTTTTTATCTTTAGTTGTCTGATGTAAGGTATATTATTACGTTTGTAATATAAAAAGATATCTTTCACATATTTCCATCATTCATGTATTAAATATGGTAGAATCAAATATTCCGATCTTTGCCCT